CTAGCAACAACAAATGCTGGTGAAGATGTGGAGAAAACGGAATTCCCACCTGCACTGCTGGTGGGAATGCAAACTAGTACCACTATGGAAAACTGTTTGGAGGTTCCTCAAACTGCTAAACATGGAGCTTATGTATGACCCAGCAATCCCACTCCTAGGTATCTACCCAAAAGACACAAAAACACTGATCCAAAAGATACCTGCATCCCCATGTTTATTGCTGCTTTATTTACAATTGGAAAGACATGGAAACAGGCCAAATGCCCAAAAGTGGATGACTGGATTAAAATGATGTGGTACATATACACAAAGGAATATTACCCAGCGACTAAAAAAAAAAAAAATTATTATAAAAAAAAGCCTTATCTGCCAAAAAAATAAAATAAAGTTTTGTTACTGGGGGGTGGGGGTGGGTGGAGGTGGAATAGTAGCAGTGATCTATGGTAAAGGGTTAATTAAGGATGCTTTGGTGGTGGGTGTGGTGTGGTGACATACTTCTGAGGAGCTATGAACCTATTCCTCTATATCATTTTCAGTGCTGTAAGCCAGTGTTACCTTAATAATAATAATAATAAAGAAATACTGGCATGAACATTTAGTCAACTAACAATTTTTGATTTGCGATGAAAGAGGGCACTTGCATAGGTTTATCTTTTCTATGAATCAGAAATATAAATCATAAAATATATTTTATAAAAAGGTGTGAGTTCTAACTTTATAGTTAAAAATTATTACAGACCATCCAGTTATGTGCAAAGTACCAGGTAAATAAGCATTTATCCTTATCTTGACCATAAAAACTACCATAAGATAGTGGTATTTCTCCTAAGTGGAAGAAAAACAGCGATATTTTAGCCAGACAACATGACACGTATCTAACCAACAGTAGAGATCTGTCAACATTTACATCAAACACTAGGCTACAAAATGTCAAAAGAAGAAACCATGCCTCAAAATGAAATGAAACATACCAAGTGGGGGGAAAATCATATTTGTGGTTCAATTCTAAGTCAGAATAATCTTCACCACAACAGTCCACATGGTAGTCTGATAATAATTACCTCACATCCTCAGATTCTTCTGTTGCTTTGGGAGCACTGGTTTGCGGAGGCTCAGTATGAGAATAGGGATCTGACCCCCAGATCATACGAGGTTCAGAGAGAGAAATTGTATGATCTCTTGCAGATCGAGTTATATGCTCAAATGACTCTGAACTGTTTGGTGACCCTTCTATCTGGTCTCTTCTCATTAATGGCTTTGGAGGAATCATCCCTGTAACAAAAGATCAGAAAAAAGACAGCAATTAAAAACTAAAGAAACAAGATCACTATGGACAAAGAATCTACGTTATTAAACATTAGGTGGATTCTCTATTTTTAAGATAACAAAATACCTTTTTGCCAAATAAAATTGGTAAGTAAACAGTTAAGTGACAGTTTTATAGGGTTTTCTGTGAATGAGATTTTACAGCTGCTATTAAAGACAATTAAGAAATGAGGAAGGAAATCAAGAAAAATCACAAGAAGTTATTTTATTTAAAACATAATGCTCCAGGTAAGCACTGTGACAAATAATGAGAATTATATAAATTGTAAAATATTTCCTGTAGTTAAATTCTGTTAATTTCATTTAGTCAATCACTACACTGTTTTTTAAATTTTAAAGTTTCTATGTCGATTTTTAAGATGAACATGTAATTCCTGACCATGTTTCATCACCCCTAAAAACAGTGTAGCTAATAAAATTAATAAGACTGGGTAATTTTCCATCTCAAAAATTTAAAATATTTACCAAAAAAGAAAAAGACAGCATTTTTGTCTTGCCACATTGCTGGCAAAGTATCTGACATTTAGCTATTTTGTACTAAACAAAGTCACATAATGTTATGATTCAAAATCTGGCCCTATATAACCTTTCATTTTTTTAAAATAAGATTTATTTATGCATATAGAACTGGGGTACAAGCCAGAGAGAGGTGGGGTGGTGGTGTGTGTGACAGAGTGAGAAGCAGATCAGGCAGATGGACTGATATACACTGCTGAGGGGAGCAGCGGGGGTGGTAAGGACAGGTCTGCCCTCCCATGTTGCTCAGCTACAGGACAGGGATTGAATTCATGCTACAGTGGCTGTGATAGCTTCATAGTGCTGTACTTTAACTAGCTGCGTCACCAGGGTGGGCCTGTGCCAGTGACATTTCAGCTTACCGGGATGAATGGGAGGAATGTCCATAGCTGGTCTTCCTGACATCATTCGAGGATCCATGTATGACTGCATCATCAACCACCGTGGATCAAAACCCATAGATGCCAAATGCTGAGGGTGAGGCTGCATGGCCTGGTAAAGAGGTCTGTGTGGTGGAGGAGGCACAGCACCACTAGATGGTTGCGAAGGAACAGCTTGTGGAAGTACACCTTGCTGCTGCTGCTGTTGCCACTGCTGCTGTTTCATCTGCTCCTGAAAAAGAAGAACCCCATCTTGAGATTTACCCTTCATGTGCTGTACCAATACAATCAATCATAATAGAAAACTACCTTTTCTTAAAATCTTAAAACCAGGAGACATTTCTCCAATAAAGACCAACAAACAGCCCACAGGCACATGAAAAAAACATGTTATATGGAAACTCAACATTTTTATAAGAAAAATGCAAATCAAAACCACAATAGGATATCACCTCTCATATTTGAGAATGGTCTATGTCAAAATAAAATATAGGAAAAAAACCAAGTTTGGGCTAGGGTGTAGAGAAAAAGGAACTCTTAATTCACTGTTGGTGAGGATATAAATTGGTGTAGCCTACACAGAAAAATCTATGGTGATTCTTTAAAAAGAAAAAATAAAACAAAACACAACTAAAAATGGTGACATGTGATCCACAACACTATTCCTAGGTATGTATCTGAAGAATATGAAAATAGTAATTCAAAAAGGATAAATGTACCACTATGTTCATAGCAATGCTATTCATAGTAACCAAGACATGGAATCGTCTTAAACGCCGCACATCAACAGATGACTAGATACAGAAATTGGTGTATATTCACTCAATGGAATGCTACTTAGTTATTAACTAGATGGAACCTTGCCTTTTGCAACACAATAAAAGATAGAGTGATTATGCTAAGTGAAGTCAGAAAGAGAAGACAATTATCAATGATTTCACAGATGTGTGGAATATAAATAACCAAAGCAAAACTTGCGAAACACCACAAAAATACTTCACAGACTGTATGGAAAATGTGGTGGTTACTGGGGTGGGAGAAGAAAGAGTGGAGTGGGAGCAATGGTTCCAGAGGGGTTCAACCTGATAGTGCTATGGTACTAACATCTTCAGTTGTGAAGTGAAGGATACCCACATGCCGAGGTGTGTCATTATACCCCTCAAATTATACGGGCTTTGTAAACAAAGGGTAAATCAATCAATGATTTAAAAAAGTCAAGACATTTAACATAAGAGGCAAGACAAAAGAACAAAGAATAATTATGACATCCTGCCTAATACCTGACTTAAACAGCTAATCCACTCATTAATTAAATTTAGACCATTTCTTAAAAGGAAGAAGATATCTACAGATGAGGTGTAAGAGAAAATAACAAAACAGATGTTCATGTAATAATGAACTTATTAAAAAGGGAAAGAAAGAAGTTCAGAGAAAATATGTGCTCTGTATAGTTTAGGTTAAATTATTTTTCCGATTACTGAACAATAAACCTTTTCAATCACATCACAGTAAAATGTTTTTGCTGTTACCTGTTGCCGCTGGAATCGTGGCGGTAAAGACTTCTGGAACTGTTTAAAATAGCCAGATAGCACAGCAGGCCGGGGCTGAGAGCCTGACTCTGGTTCCACTTCATGGGCCACTTGCGTCGTCTCTTTTTCACTGCGACTACTGTCTTGTCTAGTGAAAACTGGGTCATCTTCTGCTCAAAGAGAAAGTGAAAGATAATGATATTCATCTAACACTTACTAAAAGATGATTTGATGACTTTTGCACTGGAGTAAAATGATTAGACTGATGTATTTTAAAAGTCAGTGAGGAAGAAAGAGTATCATTCAAGTTTTGCATTCTAATATTAAGCAGTCATCAGTGAGGTTACATCAGGCTAATACAGTATTTTCTTTTTAAAGATTTATTTATTTATGCATACAAGAACTGGAGTACAAGCCAGTGGTGAGAGGATTCACCAGAGAGAGTGGGGGAACAGAACAGGCAGATTGACTGAAATATACTGCTGGGCAAGACAGGAGAGGTCTGCTGCACCAAGAGTCAGCTCCCTAACCGGGACTGAACTTATGCTGCAGTGGCTGTGGATAGCTTGTAGTGCTTCACTTTAACCCCCTCTGCCACCAGTGAGTCCCAATATTATTCTACTTTCTCAAAGATAAGGTCCTAAGAGATCACAGGTCCAAGTTCTTCACCATATAAAAAAATCTACACTCAATATTTGATGACAAGAAAAACACTATCTTATATCTGCCTGTTTTGCTCCCCACTCTCTCTGGTGAATCCTCTTACCTCATCCACCTCTGTACTATACGCTAGTTCTTATGCATAAATAAATAAATAAATCTTAAAAAAAATAAACTTGACCACTCTGCATTTGTTTCAATAAAAAATGCTGCTGTCAATATTCACTCACTGTGACTTACTGTGAAAACACAAATGGCCTACAACACTTAGAACATAATGATTTACTTTTACTTTGCATTTTAAAAGTGCAGGTTTAGAAGGAAAAAAATGAGAAGGGGAACAGAGGCAGCTATATAGACATAGGTGGGCAGAGAGCCACTGCTGCTGCTTTGGAAAGGGGATGTCTGTTAAAAGGGGAGCCAGCATAAGGAAAGGCAGACAATCTTGGAAGAAGAACTGCCCATCTGCTGTAATTTTATGATGATCATGGATCAAAAATAAACTGCAAGGGAAATTGGAAAACACCTTTTAAAAGGCAAATAAAACCAAAAAACAAATCAAATTATGGGATACAGCAAAATACTATACAAAGGAGTAAATTTTAATTAGAATTTTTACTCCAAAACACAAAAGCTCTCAGATCAGTAACCTTTTAAAATTTAGAAAGGAACAAATTAAATCCAAAGTTATTAGAAGCAATAAAGATTAGTGCAGAGACTAAATAGCAGCAAAATAAGAGAAAAAATTATCAATGAACCCCAAATTTGATTCTTTTAAAGAAATACCTTCAGGTCTCAAAATTTTCCAAAACACTGGAGGAAGATCTTCCTAACTGAAGTCTATGAAATTTGGTATCCTAATACCAAATGCAGACAGAAACACTACTTGAAAACAAAGATTAATCTCTTATGCAACAATCTTTGACAAAAAACAAGCTAACAGTAGTATCTTAAAAGGGTTATACAATAATACCAAGTGGGATATAGTCCTGGAATGCAAGAATGATGCAACATATTAATGTACTACATTAAGGGGGAAAAGCCAAAATAATAATCCATGACAGAATTCAACATATTTTCATAAAAATGTTCAATAAGCTAGGAAGAAGGAAATCTCAACATAATAAAAACCATATGTAAAAATCACAAGAGTTGACACCATACTCAATGTTGATCAACTGAAAGCTTTTCTTCTAAGATAAGAAAGACCAAGACAACCAGGTTTCACCACTTCTGTTCAATGTTGTATCAGTAGTCAGAGTAATCAGGTACAATAGAAATTAAAGACATCAATATTGTGTGGGAAGTAGCTATGTTTGAAGATGATATGATATATGCAAAAAACCCTGAATCTGCACAATAAAACTGTTAGAATAATTAATTCAGCAAAGAGCAAGATCCAAAGTCAGCACAAAATTGCTTGCATTTCTAGACACTAACAGTGTATAGTCTGAAGAAGAAAACAAAAGTAATTCTATTTCCAAGAGCATCAAAAAGAATAAGACACTCAGAATTAATGTGAAAACTACAAAATATTGGTGAAAGAAATTAAAGATACAAATAAGGGGATTAGCTTCCATCTCACTGATTAAAAGACTTAATACTGTTAACATGTCACTACTACCTAATGCCATCTACAGAGTAAATTCAATCTCTTTCAAAACCACAAAAGCATTCTTTACAGAAGTAGAAAGTCATCCTAAATTTCATGATATCACAAGAAACCAAAATAGCCAAAATACTGAAAAAAGAGTAACAAAGATAGAGTTCACATACCCTAATCTCAAAACTTTCTAAAAATTTACAGTAATAAGAGATATATTACTGGCAATACAGATAGGCGTTAATGTCTAACTGAATAGACTATAAAAAAAAAACAATCACGTTGTGGTCAAATTATTTAAAAACAAGGCTGTCAAAATCATTCGATGGGGGAAACAATAGTCTTTTTCTTGAATGTCACAGCAAAGGCAAAGGAAACAAAAGAAAGTGAACTTGATAAAAATTAAAGTGTTGTGCATCAAAGTAATACTTAAAGAGTGGTAAGTGCAATATCTGGAATTGCAGCAAATACTGTAAAATGATACATGTGAAAAGGGGTTAATGACCAGAGTAAACACAGAACTCCTAAAACAACCAATTTAAAACAGGTGATAAATTTAATAGTTATTAGGAAATGCAAATCAACCATGAGTTACTACCTCAAAACCAACAGCATGGCCAGATATATAAAAAGAAAACAGTAACAAATATTGGTGAAGACCTGAAGAAATTAGAAACATGTACACTGTTGGTGGAAGTGCAAATGGCATAGGATACTACGGAAATCAGTGATTCTTAGAAAGTTAAAAGTGGAATTATTATATGGCCTAGAAAGCCCACTTTGGAGTATAAACGCTAAAGAACTGAAAGCACGGTCTCAAAAATATATATTTATACACATGGTCACAGTAGCATTATTCAAAATACCTGAAATATGGAATCAAAGTACCTGTCCATTGACAGATGAAGGAATAAGGAAAATGTTGTACAATGTGATTAACCTGGTGGATACCATGCTCAGTGAAATCAATCACAAGACTAATACTGTATGACTCCACTTACATGAAACATAAAGTCTCTGATACTACCTCAGGGGTTGGGGAGAAGGAAGAACAAGAATTTACTCTTCTGGGTATAGTGTTTTAAGTTTTTGGAGATGGACAGTGGTGATGGTCCCACAATATTATGAACATACTGAACTGTACACAACAAAATGGCTGAGGTACTCAATTTCGGTTTACATATGTATCACCATAATGCAAAAGTTAGGATGTGTCAAATAAAACTCACTTTCATTCCAAAAGGCCCTGACAACTTTTACTTAGTGTATGTATATAATGTCTTAAAATGTCAGACATTTTCATCATAAAACATACACATTAAAATGCAAAGAAGTAACAACATGAGAGAATACTTAGTCTAGATAATTCCCCAATTAGAACCAAAAAAGATACAAACATCCACTTGTAACTAACACCAAGTCTTTTTGTAGGGCTTTTGTAAGAACTAACAAGACCATCATACCTTTAATGTGGTTTTCACTTTCTGGTTTTTCTACCACAGGCTCTAAAGCAGGCTCTTTGTGTTCTGTTTTTTCCTCCACTTTCTCCCTTTCCTTCTCCAACTCACATTCCTTTTCCTGTTCTTTCACTTTTTGTACTTCTTTGTCCTTTTCCTGCAGTCGTTCAAGTTCTTTCTCATTTTCTTGCTTTCTTTCCTTCTCTATTTCTTGTTGTTTTTCTTGTTCCCTCTCCAGTTCTTTCTCCTTTTCCTGTCTCTCCCTTTCTTTTTCCCGCTCCTTCTCTCGTTCCCGTTCTTGCTCTTTTTCAAGTTCTTTCTCGCGTTCTCGTTCTTTTTCTCGCTCCCTTTCTCTAATTTCCTCTAGAGAAGGCTGTTTGTCCACGATGCCAAGTTTCTCATCTAACTTTTTCAGTTTCTCTGCACATGCTGCCTTCCTTTGTTCTTCCATTCTTCGTTCTTCCTCTTCCCGGCGTTTACGAGCACGTTCTACTGCTGCAGAAAGTTCTGATTGTTGTCGTCTTCTTTGCTTCCATATTTCATCATCATCAGGAACTTGCTGTTTGGGGGGAAAAGGGCCTGGTCTTCCAGATCCTGTCTGCCGGTCTGGAGGAAGATGCTGAAACATTATGGAAAATGAGATGAAACTGAAAAATCTACTTCTGATCAACTCAGGATAACAAAGGCATAGAGGGAAAATGCTTTAAAATATCAGACATTTTCATGATAAGACATACACATTAAAATGCAGGGTAACAACATGAGGGAATACTTAGTCTAGATAATTCCCCAATTAAGATCAAAATTAACCCAACCACCTAACTTTACTTAACATGTGCCTATTTAATGGGTCTAACATACACTGTAGCTCATTCAATATTTGTTTTGAATAAAATTAGAAGACGTTACAACATGAATTTCAAAATCTACATTTTAGAGATAAAGGAAATTTAGGGTATGAGTGCCTTAGTAACATCTTCCAGAGAAAACTAGTACTTAAAATTAAATTGAGGTACAGTTACAGGGGAAGAGCAAAGAGCCAGGAAATAAAGTAGAGCAACCAGAGGTGCTACTATTGCCAATACTCTGAAGTATAAACTCTGAGAAATCAGCCTAGTTGGAGAGTTCTACTTTCACACTGAAAGTTCCAGAAAGGTATATCTAAAATCCATGGTGAAGTGTGAGAGGATCACCTGAGAGGCAATTCAGTGATTTAACTTCCAATTAATGTGCTCTAAAAAAAATTACTATAAAGTATAAATTCACCATTAGCCACTATGAAAAGACAATCATAATGAAAGAGCCCATGAAGGTCTGAAATATTAAGAACACTGAAAAAGATTTGTTTTGAGAATACTGCTGTCAAAAGCTCTGAGGGTGAATAAACCTTAGCAGTCATAACCAGCCAGAATCCTTATAAGAGAAAAAAATGGTATGGTGAAAATATTTGAATATTAATCTGTGAATCCAGACTATTTAAAGCATAGTTGCTTTAGGCAAATCACTTAATATCTCTGGTGTTCAATTTTTTCATGTATAATTCAGACAAGCTGCAAAAACAAAACTATATGAAAGTTTCTAATTTATAAAGCAAAATCACAGAGAAAGATTATTTAAAGAAGCAAGTTTGGACCTCCCTGGTGGTACAGGAGTTAAAGCTTCAGCACTAATAAGCTATAGCCAGCCACTGTGGCATGAGTCTGATCCCCAGACAGGGAACTTATCCACATGGTGCAGAAGATTTTTCCTGTCTTACCTGCTGCTCCCCTCAGCAGTGTTTTTCAGTAATTCTGTTTCCCCATTTTGTCTCTGGTGATCCCTGTCACCCCCTGTTTCTCTGATCTATATCCCAGTTCTAAATAAACAAACAGAAATCCTTTAAGACACAAACAGTTCCCTGAAGGCTAATATGTAAAAAAGTGCACATATTCTAACCATATGTTCGATGAGCTTGGACAAGTGACTCTTGTAATCACTGTGCCAATCAAGATTATGGGCATTTTCATCACTCCTCTGTTGTTGCCCATATCCCCAAATAAAATCAGTGATCTACTTCTGCCCATTTTGCTTGTCCTAAGAGTTTCATATAAATGGATACACAAAGTTACCACCTTTTTTGTTTCTGGTTTATGCCCAGTGAAAAAGTCCTGAGATTATTGTGTTATCAGTATTTCTGCTATATCCCATTGCTGAGTAGTATTATCACAGATAAACTATTTCACCTGTAGATGGACATGCAGAATCCTTGTTTCAAAAATATGACTAAAACAGCTGTGGGCATTCATACCTATCTTCATGTAATGTAAATGTATATTTTCATTCCTCCTTGATATCTAGGAGAACTGCTCAGTTATATGGTAAGAATGTTTCATTTTATAAGAAACTACTGTACTGTTTTCCAAGGTGATTACAAGGTTTTCCAACCCCTCCAGCCAGCTACTCTACATTCTTCCTAGTATTTGGTGTCATCAGCCTTTTAAAATTTAACTAACAAATCTCACTGTGGTTTGATTAACATTTGTAATGATTAAAGCTATCTAACATTTTCTCAGATGTATTATGTATGTATTTACTTGTAGCCATTTGTAGATTCTATTTTGTAAAGTGAATGTTCAAATCATTTTGTTGGACTATGGGTTAAAATAAAAGTTCTTTTGTCAGATGTACTAATATTTTCTAGACACATCTTTTCATTGCCTTAGTGATGTTTTTCAAAGTCCGACTGATTAATTTTTAAATTACTTATGCATCTAAGAATGGGGGTGTAGATCAGAGGTGTAGGGAGTGAGAGGATTCACCAGAGACAAGTGGGAAGCAGAAAAGGCAGATCTACTGAAATGCACGGCTGAAGGGAATAATGGGTGGGTCAGGAGAGGTCTGCTGTGCCATGTGGGTTAACTCCTTGGCCTGGGATTGAACTCATGCTGTAGTGGCTTGTTCCCCTGTACCACCAGGGAAACCTTCAACTGATTTTAAAAAATAATTTATGCCTTTTATGACATCTTTGTTTTTTTCAAGTTCATGAAGACTTTTTGTTATGTTTTATTTGTAGCTTGTATGTATGTATATAGTATCATGTATATGAGTGGGGAGCAGAACAGGTGAGTTAGGAGAGGAGTCTGCGCTACCATATGTAGCCAAATAGGTTGTAGTGGTGACAGTACCGAGGCTTAAGCCCTAGGTACACCAGGAGGCCCCCTAAGTGTGCAGTTTTAAGAGATTGTATCTACTGTAAGAGAATTTTGGATTTACCAACTTGGTGCACCAGCATGAAAAGAAAGCAATACTTGTGAAGAACCTACTGTGACAGTTCAAATGAAGAATAACAGCATGTACATACACATTATTGGAATGTATTCTGAAGACAGAGGTGACATTATTTGTTGAAGGATTAGAACTAGGCTGGATATATAGATATAAAAGAAGAAAGAGCTAAGAATGACCTTCCAGATTTTACCCTGAGGAAACAGATGAATGATAACTCCATTACCTAAACTGGGGAACACAAGGTAAGCAGAACTGCTTATGTATGGGTGGTTTCCCTATGGTTTGGATATATTAAAATGTGAAATATCTAATAGACCCAAGTGGACACATAGAACTAAGTTAAGTCTCAGTGCTACTACCTCTACAGTCTGACAGTCTGAGTTCAACCCGCAGCCAGGGAGCTAACCCATATATGGTACAACAGATTTCTCCTGTCTCACCTGCTGCTCCCATTAGCAGTCTATTATAGTAAATCTGTCTGTTCCCCACTCTGTGGTAATATCTCTCACCGCCCTCCTACCACCCCTCCACCCCCCACAACTTTGGCCTACAGCCCAGTTCTACTAAATAAATAAAATCAATCTTAAAACAAATGACGACATACTACATCAGCTGCTCCTAAGATTAAATAATAGATTACTGGTGAATGATAGAAAATGAGGCCCAAGGAACAAATAGAAAGATTGTCCTTAGTAGCAAGGTCAAGAAGGAAGTCATTCAAGCATATGAAATGGGAAAAATAAGCACTTTTCTTTCTTAGTGAAATTAGAAGCATGCTCATTAGCTAAGAGTAAAAGGATGAAGAGGAAATGATACAGGGGCAATAAGGTAAAGTCTGTAAGTGCTTCACAGAAGTCATAAACAAAGAAACACACTCAGAGCTTTCCATTTAAACAAAAGTTAAAAACACAGAGACCAGGCTCTCCCTGGTGGCACAACAGATTAAAGCACTGAATTATGAAGCTCTCCGAAGCCACTGTAGCATGAGTTTGATCCCCGCCCTGGAGGTGACCCGATGGCATGGCAGATCTCTCCTGACCCACCCGCTGCTCCCCTCAGCAGTATTTCAGTAGATCTGTTCCCCACTCTATTTCTGGTGAATTCTCTTACCCCCCACACCTCTGGCCTGCACCTGTTCTGTAAGCATAAATAAATAAACCTTAAAAAACAAAGAGACCATAATACAAGAGTATTCAGTTTCTACCTGCTGTGCAAGCAACTTTGGAGGTGGTGGCAAGTGTGAAGATGGTCCTCGCTCCTGTTATAAAGGAAAATTTTATTATTTTAAAAATCATATAAAGATATCTACTTGAAATATATCTGATTTTTTTCCTCAGTGAGAGAACAACACTGCAAAAAATAAATCAACTTTGTCCTTTTCTCTTATTAAAAAGTACATCATTCACTATAAGTTATCTTTACATTCCACAGAAGTACCATTTCAGGAAGGTTAGAATTGCCAATAAACTTAGCGAACAGAATTTTAGTGCATAAATTTTGGAATCCTGGTCCATGTAATTCAACTATGTAGTGAGATACTTCTACTTTCAAAATCTTGTTTATATAAACACAATTGTTTTTCTATGATCTAAGGCAAACTAAGAATGACATAAAATAGCTAACATGTGAAAGACATAATACAAAGAATTTTTGCTTGCTAAAATGTCAGTTTAACAATAAAAAACCCCAAGTAGAAAAGTATTTTATAAAAATATTATTTGAAAATGCTATGTTCTCCAATTATTAAGCCAACGCTTTAAAAATAAAAATTGGGGGTCCTCCCTGGTGGTGCAGCGGGTTAAAGCACAACATGAAAAAGCTAAAGCCATTTCAGCATGAGTTTGACCCCCACCCTGAGGTGATCCACATGGTGTGGCAGACCTCCTGACCTGCCTGCCGCTCCCCTTAGTGTACTTTGTCAATCTGCCTGTTCTGTTCCCCATTCTGTCTCTGGTGAATCCTCTTTATCTACCACACATTTGGCCTGTACCCCAGTTCTGTATGTATAAATAAATAAAATATAAAAAAAATAAAAATATGAAACTTGGGTCCTCTCTGGTGGTACAGTGGATTAAAGCACAGCTCTATGAAGCTATCATATGTAGCCACAGCAGCATGAGTTTGATTCCGGGCCAGGGAAGTGACCCACACGGCACAGCAGACCTCCTGTCTCACTCGCTGTGCCCCATAGCAGTATTATTTCAATCTGCCTGTTCGTCTCTAGCGAATCCTCTTACTTCATGCACCTCTGGCTAACACTATCCCAGTTCTTGTGTGCATAAATAAATATTTAAAAATAAATAAAAATAAAACTTAAACTCCCTTGTATGGCATATAAGGTTTCACAAGTGGTTCTTCCATAGGTTTCCTATTTCTCTTGTATACAATCTACTTGATGTTTCTACAAGTGTCACACTTCCTTATACTTTTGTACTCTGAAGACTTCCTATTATTTATATCTATACAAAATCACTCTCTTCCCAATGTTTATTGGCTAGTTTCTACTTCAAGTACCAAATCTTCTACAAAACCTTTTCAAAGAATTCTCTAAGAACTAACGGTGTGGACTCCATCACAAGTACTTTTCGCACTCCATCACAAGTACTTGTTGGCATGTCATTCCTTTTTGAGTTATCAGCTACCTCCTTCATCTCCCTGAAAGGACTGGTTCCTTTATCTATTTGTGTGGATTCAAGAAGTAGACCATGTATAATGAGTTAAGATGAACTCTCTTGCAGTCTTTTCTTTTTTTCAAATAACAATTTTCTTTTTTCCTGATTTTAAAAAAATAATATAACAGTTTATTTTTACATCATTTTGTACATTTTTTAAAAAAAATCTCAATTGTAATCCCCACGGGTTTCCCATCACTGAGTCACCCCATGTGCCATCACCATAGTCCCATGCACTACCCACCCCAACCCCCCGTTTTTGATCCCATTCCCCACTCCACCCCCACAAAATGTCTCTGGTATATGGCTGATCATTATTTTTATTATGTTCTTGCCTCATCCATTATACTCCTGCTATGAGCGAAACCATCCAGCATTTTTCTTTCTCTTTCTGGCTTATCTCACTAAGTATGATCTTTTCCAGCTCTATCCAAGTTGCTGCAAAAGACATGTGTTTCTTTTTTTTGGTTGCTGAGTAATATTCCATTGTATATATGTACCACATCTTTTTAATCCAGTCATCTACTTTTGGGCATCAAATAACAATTTTCAGTGCAGCTTTCTTCATCTTAAAAGTAGGCTCTAGTCAATCTTCACATATTTCCCTCTGTCAATGTTCTGCAATGTGGTCAAACTTCTTCTGTTTCCCTACTACTACCTATGATATTTTTACATGCAATTTCTCAAATACGCATGCTAGCTAGCTAAGATTTATAAAGTAGCCAGCAACAACTTATCCACTTAAATATGACTGCACTGCTTTAATAAAAAGGGGGAAATTTAGTGTCTACTTGATGTTAGCCATGGTATTGATGATTGCCGTGAATGTGCAGCAAAAGTATGGTTCATAATTGGACCTACTCAAGAAATAAGTTTCCCTTTTCTAAGTCGTTTTCCACCTTTGTGATGATAAGGCTAATTCATTCATGTAACTGTAAAGACAAGGATTCCCTGTAAGTCAAACAAACCTGATTAAACGAAGGACCTTTCCCATAAGGACCTTTTGCCACTGAAGGTTGGGCAGGAATCTGAGGAGATGATTTAGTGTTGCAAACTTCATCTGCTTCTTTTCGGTTTTCAGTGTTTTCAGAGGCTTTTGCAACTTGATCCTCACTGAAGAATCAAAATCCAGCGGAAACAAAAAAGTGGATGGACTTTATTGTCAATAATACATTTTCTCTATGTAAAACATTATTTGCATGCGGTATTAAGGAGGGAAAGAAATGTATCAAGAAATGAGATGATTTTGTGACCTAATTCACTAATTCACTGACTCAGCAAACACAAATTATAAAGAATGTGTTAGGGTTTGGCAAGATAGACTGCCATATGGCACAAAGTGCAAGTGATACAGCTATTATCAAACAGGAATATGAATGGTTGACAACTTGGCAAAAGAAGTCTCAGCTGAATGGAAGTGAGTCATCTCAGAAGTATTACTTAATAGTATCTATTTTACCCTGATTTAATGAAAAATACAAAATTTAGCTCACTGAGCACCTTCCTTCTCCCTAAAACTAAGCAATACAATATAGAAATTTTATAAATAAGGAATAGATACCTATTAATTATCTTCATAAATGGTTAATGGGGCCTCCTTGGTGGCACAGGGTTGAAGTCTCAGCACTATGAAGCTACTGTCAGCCACTACAATACGAGTTTGATCCCAGACAGGGAGTTGAGACCAACTCAACTCAACAAGGTGCAGATCTCTCCTGTCTTGCCTACTGCTCCCTTCAGCAGTGTATCTCAGTGTATCTGCCTGTTCTGCTCCCCACTGTCTCTGGTGAATCTTCTCACCCCCACCCCTCTGGCCCTGACCCCAGTTCTCATATGGTAAAAAATTAAGACAAATCTTTTAATGGCTAATGTACCTTAATAAACTGACAATGCTATTTGTAAAGATAACACAACATACCTGCTGTTTTCTTTAGGACTACTACTTCCTTGCTCATCATCATCACTGAAATTCAACTGTTCTGTATAATCTACTTCCATCTGTGCACCTATTAAAATAAGAAAACCTCAGATTGACTGTTTAAAAACACCGAAAATTTGAGATTGCTTTGTTTTTGTCTCTTACCTGCCCAACCTTCATCAGCTTCAGCATCTAGGTTATCAAATTTATCAAGCTCCTTCAGTTCTGATGCACTAAGGATAGAGGGACGTTCAGGCTCAGCAGCCCATGAAGGAGGTGGGCCTCTTCCTCGAACACCTCTAATGAATGGGAGGTCATGAAGGGAAAGGATACAAAGTTTTAATGATATTAAATTAGGAAAGTATTACAAAACAAAACTGACAGTTTTATTTCAATGTTTTTTATATCGATATAACAAATATTTTACATTTGACACAATTACAAAAAAATTATAATATTAACCCACAAATGCAGGACAATATGTTATAATTACACAAATATTTACAGCTGATGAGTTTTGTTAATTCTCAAAGATTTAAAATAAAATGAATGTTGAAGGTTATATAGCTAAAACTATGATTTTTAGTTTTCAGAATTTTATGTCAATTAGTTTTAGAAAAATGAAATAATTTGTCTTTTAGAAGTTCTCCAGTTTCTTGTTAGTGGCAATTATACACAAAGATAGAATGTGAGTTAATCACCAAAATACGCTTAACTTTTAGAAAATCTTAACAAGCACATATACGCCTTGCAGACTTTAACCATTTAACAGTCTTACTTGTTTGTTTCGGATAAAGAAGGTGGGAACCTCATGGGACCGTGTAGTGGAGGATAAGCCATCCTTGGGTACTGCTGAAACATCTGAATGAAGGAAACAAAAAGTGATAAAAAATTCAACTTAAACAAGGAATAACTAAGGCACACCAACCTTCTGTTATCCCACTAATAAAACATCATAGGGAGCTGGAAGGGATCATGCTTAGTGAAATAATCCAGAAAGAAAAATACCGGATGTTTCACTCATAGCAGGAGTGTAGGGGATCAAGGGGAGGAAAAAAAAAACCCAATTGTAATATAATAAAAATGAAAAGCAATTAACAACTATAAATCAGAGGCATTTTACAGGGGTAGAGGGAAACTGAGAATTGGAGTAGAAAGAGCACATGGGACTATGGTGATGGCACATGGGTGCAATGGTGGTGGGAAGTCCACGGAGATTACAACTGAGATGAAAAATGTACAAAATGAAGAATGATGTAAAATACATACATAAATAAAAATATGTAAAACATCATAAATATGTTTACGTAGTTACATGTAAAGCTAAAAATAGAACACATGAACCTAGGTGATGCAAAGCCTCAGCCAAGTTCAAATGCTTGAGAGAATATAATCTGCCTCCATTTTAAGGGAGAAACATGGAATTATTAGTGGCAGATTTGACAGAGGATCTCAGATGAAAGTATAGTCCATACACAAAGGGGAGAAAAAGGAGGCGGACAGGGAGCTACTTGGAGACAGTCTATGAACAGGGCTTAAGTAATTTCTGAGCCAAGTTACTTACTGTATAAAACAGTAACCAGAAATTGAAGTACAATCCTACTGTTCCCTTCAGAAGTGTATTTCAGTAGAGCTGTCTGTTCTGCACCCCACTTAGTCTCTGCTGAATCTTCTCACCACCCACACCTTCTGGCCTATACCCCAGTTCTTCTATGCATACAGAAATTAATCTTTATTTTATTATTATTTTAAAAGATTTATTTATTTGTGCATACAGAACTGGGGTACAGGCCAGAGGCTCAGGGGAAGTGAGAGGCTTCACCAGAGACAGAGTGGGGAGCAGAACAGGCAGATCGACGAAGTGCACTGCTGAGGGGAGCAGCAGGAGCCACCAGGAGAGGTCTGCCCACCATGTGGGTCACCTCTGGGGCTGGGGATCAAAGTGGTACTGAAGTGGCTGCGACCAGCTTGCAGTGCTGCATCCTAACCCACTGCGCCACCAGGGAGGGCCCAGAAATAAAACAGGCCTAAAATATACATGACTGAAATGACCAATCCAGATCATTTAGTAATTTGGGGTGGTGGGAAATTGGCAAAATAAGATTGACCACAAATTAATAAATATTGACAATTAATGGCAGATATGAGGAGGGAGGTACACTGTAATATTATTTCTGTTCTTGCATATGCTTAAAATATTCCTTACAGAAAACTTTGAGAAAAATATTGAAGGCATGTCACTAAAAATTTTAGAATGAAAGCAGGTACTCACATGTTTTTGTGCCATGAATAACCCCTAGCCAATCTGTTAAATCCTATAGGTTTTTTCTCATAGAAATGTTTTGAAATGCATTAACTTAAAATAGGGAGGATGAATGCATAAAAACAGTTATATAAATATTTTACCACAATATTTAAGAAACAAATTTGTGATATGGTGATATGTATGTTTCTATATTAGGTTACTAAGTAACAAATGGGTCTACCAATAGGTCTAAAAACTATTATGAGATAATGCTGCGTAAAAACTGTTATTTTTAGTATCTAAAACAATATAATGCTATGTGAAAACAATAAAAACAGGGTACTGTTGATCCTTCTGATTTGTTCCATACATTTATCATTTAAAATGGTAATTTTTAATTAGATGTTAATAAGGATCAAGATTTCTCCAATCCCATTCTCTCCTTCAACCCCCAAATCAAAGCCCTCTTTTTTTTAATTATGCTTATTTAATGATACTCACATAAGGAGGCATCATAGCTCTGTACTGGGAAGCAAGGGCGGGCTGCTGTCCATTTAGCTTAGCCTGTGGAGGACCACAAGCTATCCTCTTTTCCACCACTTTGAGGATATCATTTTGTTCTGATGTTCCAGCTGTGCTTTCATCCTGACCAGGTAATTTTTCATCTTGATCAGATGTTGAAGATGAGCCAGCAGACTTACCACCATCTCTCCAACAAGCAACATCTGATATTGAGAGAAAAGAAAGGAGTAAGAAAAAATTTGAACATGGCAGAATGAAACCAAACTTGGTATATTTCAAGAAAATATGAACAAGTTAAAATGATGACAGAATAGAGAAATGATTTCAAGGTATCTGGATATCAAAAGCAGAGAGGATATATCTCAGGCTGCCAGAACAATACTGGGCAGCCAGAGAAGAAAATGTTTAAACTTCTCTATTAAGCTTTAGCAACATTTGATACAGAAATTAAAATTACTGTTAATATCTGAGGTGTTCTGAAGGTAGAAGGGTGGAAGTCCTTTACTGTGAAGTACTACCAGTGACACCACTCTTCACTTGTTTTCAGGCTACTATTGCTAACAGCAGACTGGGCAGACTGAGTGACTATTTATTTTATCTGGCTACGTTTATTTTATGTGGCCAAATCAGTGAATGGTTTTATGAAGAAAGGAGAAACTATTTGGTAGGTAGCCTCCAAGATAGCCTGCAGTCTCCATCTCTTGGTATTCACATCTATGTAGTCACCTCTCACAATGTACCAGAATTATTCTGTGTAATATGTAGAATAAGGCAGAAAAGATGACAGGTTTCCTCTAAGATTACATTCTAAAAGACTGTGGGTGTTCGTGTGGGTGGGAGATGTGTGTCTCTCCTTTCTTTTGGAATGCATGTGTGTGATGGGGAGCATGCTGTGAACAGCCCACATACAAAAAAAATTACTGTGAATGAACTTGGGGGAGGCCCAAACAAGTCAGCCTCAGATGACAGGTTCACTGTACTTACGTTCAGAAATCCTGAACCAGAATGTTTTACTAAACAGATGCCAGCTTCCTGATCCTCACATTCTTTTAAGTCCTACTCAGTTTGTCCTTTTAAGCTACCAAATTTGCCATGAAGCAACAGATAACTGATGAAGAAAATTCAACTTCACAAATAAACAACATATCTGACATATCTATTTATCAACTAAGGAAAGGCAGTTAAAAAAAAAAAAAAAGATTTACTCAGACCTGACAAGAAATGAATCCAAAGAAATACAGAAATGCATCCGATCACCAGAAACATGGCTTTTGACTGCTGTGGTACAGTGGAACCTGCTCACTTATATAGGATCTTTGACTATGATAATATAAAGTTAATTTCCTGAGAATAACTTCACTATTGTACAAAAACCTTGTATTAATGTAAAAATAAGTCTCTTATGCATCTTGTTAAGATAAAAAATATTTTTATTTAGCAGGCTAACTGTAGTGCCAAAGACATATTCCAGTAAGTTATGCTAATACTGTCAATGTAAAACATATACTTGAATAGCAAGCAACTACAGTTATCATCTGCCTTTTCACACATGCAATAGCAGGCAAAAAGTTACCAAACACAAATACAATCTGTATTATTATTAAGTAGAAGCACTCTTACTTGGTGGGCGTAAACTTGGTCCAGGGCCATAATTATCATCATTTGCTTCTTTTTCCTTTTTTTCCTGATCCCCAGCTGCCTGCAGGCTGGGAAATTCTTGCTGAAAATGACTGTTCACCTGGATTCCTAAAGATGTTTTTTTGCAAAAAATATCAAATGTAACTTTCAAACTGAAGTTAATCCAAATAACCCTCCCAGTATAGAGTTCCCTGCCTTTTCTGAAAAAATCACTTTACATTTCAGTAATGAATATTCATATGCATAAAAATTTTAGGTTCATACAGAATTAAAACTACGTGGAAAGTTACTGAATAGCCACAAGGAGATAAAATTCTAAGGAAGCAATCTGCCAGATGTGGTCTCGAGAGCTTCAATACTGTTTCTCTTTTATTATGAATCCTTGTATTTTCAATACAAGTCAAATAAATTTGCGAATCACTCTAAGGATCAATCAATTCAAATCATACACTACACGTTAGAATACAATTTACAAACCCTGTATTTAAAATGCCCTTTTTTACTACACTTTTATTCACTAAAGCACTGATTGTACCTCATTATCACCAACTTAACCCATCAACCAAATGTGTTTGGCGTTTTTATTCTTAACCTATATATTTCTACCTTATATGTTTATAAATTAAAAGAGCTGAATTTTTTAGCTTGTGTTCACAGGTGGCTTTTTCCACAGAAAGTTTTATAGAAGTTTTCTGTTTTACAAGTAGAAATATTTCTACTTGCAATATTTAAATTTTGTCAAGCAGTTCATCATTCCTTGGGTTGGGAGAATATTACAGCTACTATGCTTTATGGCTACTACTCTATGTATGCTAGAAATTATGAAAAGCATGTTCAAAACAGGAGAACTTGAGGGCAGAGGTGGAAATTAATATAGTTTCCTTACACAATGTCAGGGTACTATTAAGTTTCAAAGAGTTGAAGGTACTGGTTTTATGAGGTTATGTAGGAAAAAGATAAAACAAACAAGGGCAGAGGATTTCTTAAAAGACTCTTTCTTTAATCCCTACCAACAGTACATGTATACCTCTTGACAGTGAAATGTAACTAATCCAAAAGATTTTAAAAGATTGTTTTAGGGCCTGAGTATATCTTTTGATAATACTCTACAATGATACTGAAATACAACAATCCATCCTCTTATCTCTTGGCATGGTTGCTCAGTAACTACATGCCTACCCAGCTAACGTTCACTTACCATCTCCTTGCCCACCTTGCTTGTTACTGGCCCATGATTTGGGAGCAGGTGTTACTTCTGGGGGAGCCGCAACCCCAGGTTTTGGCTGTGCTGGTGGAACTTCTGGTGGTCTTAAAAACAAAAAACAAAACCCATTATTTCAGATATATGCTTAAATAAAATAATACCTATAAGGTAAATTAGTATACTAATAATTTTGGCTACATATTTATTTAAGGATATGTACCTCACAAATGTTATCCCTCTACAATATCTCTTAAAATGAATTACAACTATTTTTGGTCATTTTGCAAAAACGAAAACTCATTATTGAACTACAAAAATCTGTTGAATTAATAGAACAGAATACAAACAAAATGTGAATATGGTCTGGGCTGGTAGAATAGGCCAGGAGCTAAGGCTGAGATGCTCTCCATTTGGCAGGCAACAGGTTCACCACTGTACTTATAGTAATTATTCAAAGAGGTACTGGCAATCTGCCTAATCCAATCCCATGAGTAAAAAGGTGTCTTATAAAGATCTAGTTTTAGTCAATCGTTGTAATGAGTTAATACTTAAAAATGAAAAGGGTAGTTAAGAGACTTAAATGCAACACATCTCTGGTACACTTTGAACATACCTCTGGTAAACTCTGGTAACTGACTTGCTACTACTGCAAAAATAATTCTACAACCGGGCCTCCCTGGTGGCACAAGGGGTTAAATATCAGCACTATAACTATCCGCAGCCACTACAGCATGAGTTCAATCCCCGGACAGGGAGCTGACCCATATGGCACAGCAGCCCTCTCCTGTCTCACTTACTGCTCCACTCAACAGTATATTTCTGTCAATCTGCCTGTTCTGTTCCTCACTCTATCTCTGGTGAAGTTTCTCACTACATCCCCCACATCTCTGGCCTGTACCCCTGTTCTTGTATGCATAAATAAGCCTTTAAAAAATAATCTTACAACTAAGAAACAAAGAATAAACCCTTGGAAAGCTTTTCTCAAGCAGTCAAATATACTATGTAATACTATAGGCAAAACAAATCAAGTTTCTAATTGTTTCTGATTTTTAATAATTACCACTATTTAACTTGGTTATTTCATAGAATCCACACCTTGACACATAGGTAACAATATCTGCTGAATGATTAAGAGGGACATTATTACTTCTGCCCCATCTCTCTTGCTAATTCTCTATTCACTTAAAAAATATTATGATGAGCATCAGACATAGGTTCAGTGAAACAGGGAGGTAGAAGTTCTTAGTAGCACAGAAATTATTTAATGGAATCAACTCTTAATTATATTAGAAGAAGAATGCCTGACTTAGTGTAGATAGTATATAAGGTAGGTGTATCAGCAAATCTGTCAAATGAGACAAGGAAACACTGTCTAATCCCAGTCACAGGAAAAAAATCAACCAAAGCTGAAGTACTGTAAAGGGCATGCCATAAGTAATACATCTTGCATCCATAGACAGAGCTCAAATATAAATTCCCTACAAAAAAAGGAAAATGGTTCATGCTTTAACAGATTCTGACTCACTTTTCTTCTTCATGTTGCTCTTGTTTTGAGGCCCATCCTGTACCATCTTTAGGCACAATATTCACATTGGGATCGTTGCCTTTGTTTTCTGCTTTGAGACTGGGGAGGTTAGCAGGTGGTGGCATACGCCGTGAAATACCAACTTTTCCAAGACTTTGTAATCCATGTCGAGCTGCTACTAAAACCCAACAACATCAATATTCTTAGAACATTTTTAAATTACCCATGGTATTCTTTAGATACAGAAAAACAATAGCAAATAATTGAGTTTTTGAACTATTTCTTAATAAGGAAATTTTAGACTAAGCCATATAACTGCAATACAATGTCATGTAGAAATTATATTAAAATATACTACTCAAGCTACTGAACAAAAAAATTCTAATAATGCAGCCTTACACTGGATTAGCAAGAAATCACTGATAATACTGACTTTGTAGTATTTTCAGGGAGTTTATTTCAATTAAGTCTAATATTTTAGAGAATATGTAAACTTTATGTACATAATATATTTAGCAAATCTATGACACACAGTTCATTTTCACTTAACAACGGTTCAGGGTATCCAATACCAAACTAAACCACAGGTCTTTAGAGCTCTAAGTCTAAATTTCATTGCCCAAGTTTCTCCTTTGAAGCCACATATTTCTACTTATTTTTGCTGGCAATGGGAAAAGTAAATATTTTAAGGCATGTATATACCAATTTTCTATTTTAAGACATTTAATTTACATCCCCTGAAAAATGTATGCACATATAAAAAGTCCCATATTGTTAAGGTCACATTAACATGGGTTTGTTTTAGCTCATGTAGCAGTAATTCCAGTATACAATTTATAGTAACAAAACAAAATCATAAAACATATAAATCCCAATTGATTTTTACTCACCTGTGGTTTTCTGAGTTTCTAATGATTTTCCCTTGTAAGTATTAAATAAACTGAGTGTTGCATACTTTTTCCCATCCTTCGCTTTTGTACTCTGGCCTGACTTCTCCGACATTTCGGTGGAAACTCATCGAGTCCAAAACCTCCTGCCACACCCCTTAAAACCAGTCTTTAAGATCATGTAAGAACAAAAAAATGGGGAAGACTTTAGAAATTTTTTAGTTGAATAATATTTCAATAAATTCAATTAGTCACTAAAAAAAACCAAAAAGATGAAAATGAAGAACTTTATCTTCTACAATAATTTCACAGACCTGTCTAATAACCAACACATTACAAAATTTATCAAAGTAAATCATGCACTAACAAATATATTAGTTATTTGTACTTTTTAAGGGGATTATAACCACTATCACAGAAACTAACACTTTGTGATCTATATACTAAGATGAACATGAATGCTTCAAATTATAGTCAATCTATAGATTTCCTTCTACTTAATAATCAATTTAATAGACTTTAGATGACTGACTTCACCAGCATGTACATATAAAAGCATGACGGAGTAACATCCTCCAACAAAATGCATGCCTATGTTTTTGAGCAGTATGTGTCTAACAAAGCTTTAATAATTTAACAGTTTAGTATAAAAATATCACTCTAATTTCTATGCATTCTGCAAAAGGAAAAACATTTCTTCATTAACCAAAGAAAAGAAATATTCTATTTTATGGCTTTGGACAAAAAATGGTGTTTGTCCAAATCTCTTGTATATATATATATATATTTTTTAAAGATTTATTTATTTATTCATACAGAACTGGGGTACAGGCCAGAGGCTCAGGGGCGGTGAGAGGCTTCACCAGAGACAGAGTGGGGAGCAGAACAGGCAGATCTACGAAGTACACTGCTGAGGGGAGCAGCGGGTGGGCCAGGAGAGGTCTGGCTCGCCATGTGGTCTCCTCCGGGGCAGGCGGGAATCGAACTCATGCGGAAGTGGCTTCAGATTCTCAGTGCTGTGCTTTAACCCGCTGCGCCACCAGGGAGGGCCACCAAATCTCTTGTATATTTAAAAAGTTTCTAGAAACGTTTTTAAATGAACATTCATATACACTTGAGGGGTTAGTGTGGAAGTCAAGGTGAAGGTGGCAAATTCTACCACAGAAATCAATAGCTAGAAGCATTAAAAACTAAAGCACAGGAGTTGAAAACAGTACAGAAGAGCCATGTCTTGCAAAAATCATCAAGGTCAAGGAGTGTCCAGGTAGACTCATTTTATCTATTGGTTTTACACTTGTCAATTGCAGAACCAGCATCAGATGCAGAGATGCAGTTTTGTATGCACATCAGCGATACAATTATTTGTGCTGTTCCATGAGATATATCAAGAACTTTTATACCTATTAGCTCACTTCAATCTGATAACCTTATGATATAGTATTCTGATTTTACAGGTAAGGAAGTAATGTTTAGAGTTCTAGGAGGTGGAACCTGAAATAAGGTTTCCAGGTCAGTTTATTATACCATGTCTGCTGCTTCCTGTCCACATAACCAAGGATCAACATTTTGCCCTCCAACATTTACAACAAAATGTCTTTCCTTCAGATACATTGTGAAAAGGACTCACTTGCAACCAAAAGAACAGTTGTGATAGTATAGACAGCTTGCATACAATTTTATATCCCAAGTTGCTGATTAATGTGGGTACAGTACTGCCAGACTCTATCCCGTTGACATATTTTCACCAATAACATGGACAAAGATACAGGTAGAATAATTTTACATGTGGTGGGGGAGGGAGGAGACACTTCTTAACTACAGAACAAAATTAAAATTTGAAATCTTGAAGTGAAAAATGTAACTGACTTATCAAGAAAAAAGATCAATTTGTTCTTCTACCTTCACTTGATGGCAATTTAACATCTAGGATATTTGGATTTCTCTTAGCATATTTATTCACAACATTCTTTAAGCAGAGACCCTTAAATACTTCCATCACAGAGAAAGCAAATATATGTAAAAATAAAAGCCCACTGAATCTATACCTATCTTTCCCAAGGGTTTTCCTTCTTCCACCTGTTCACTGCATCATCTGGAACCTTATCAGATTCAGTCTAGATTTATCATTAACAAAATCTGAGCATGAAGTCCAGCACTGTTTTAGTGAGTCTTTCTGGTGGTTTTGAACTATATGCAGTTAAATTCAGCTGGGGATTTAAAATACACTAATATCTGTGGTATTGAGGCAGGTTCTGGGTATAAACCCTAATTTTGAAAAGGTTCTCCAGATGATTCTCATGTAGAATTGGTCTTTAGAATCACTGTGATATATATCTCCTACAATTCCATCCGAGGTCAATATTTTCTCCAGTGTAGTCATACTATATTCACACCCTTTTTTATTCTAAACTTTTCTCAGTTAAGAAATTTCATCCATTGAGGTTAACTTCACTTCCAACTGATGAGTCCAAATATTTATCTTTAACTCAGAACTCTGTACTCCTGAAGATTATATCCCACTATTTACATTTCTTCTGTCCTCAGTAAAGTTTCACCTTTACCTAAAATATAGGTACCGATTTTATTACTGAGACTTTCAGAAGCAAACCTACCAAATATTCTTATCAGAAGAAAATAGTTACTTAAAAAAAAACAACAACAACAACAACAGAGAAAGTAACTCAACATTTAACAAAATGTGAAAATGCTATGTAAGAACTCAACAAGCAGGAAAAAAAAACCACTCAAGATACATGAACAATTCACTACAAAATTAACACTGGTAAGTAAATGCATTAAATACTCACAATTTCATAGGTAAATAAATGAAAATATAAGAAAGCAGTCCAGCTTCTCATATACTTATACAAGGAAAACAACACATTGAACTAATAATAGGGTGACAGAAATTTAATTCAATTATGGCCATCCCAGACCAGTATAGCTTGGAAAGAATAAGAAAATGAACCATAAAAGCCACACAACACACCTTTTTATACAAGGTCAAAGTAAAAGTTCAAAATTCTCTAGTTTCCTCTTTCATAATTAATAAACTATTACCTATGTATGCCCTTCAATACAGGGTCTTTTACCAAGCAAGAGGTAAACAAAATATGTACTAGCTGTAATCTAAAATGAGAAAGATGGACGAAGAATCAACTCACATAACTAGAATACAATGATAATCACATCATGGGTGAAAATGTTTACAAAATCATGTATTATCAGCAGTAAACATTGCTGATCATAAGCAATTTAATTTTCTTATACATACTATGATAACAAAGTAACAAAAAGTGTTGTTAGAGGATAATAAACAGTAGACATTAAGTAAATATTTCTATGACTGAATGGGAGAATTAAACATTCATTAACTAATTTTCCTTATACCATCAGTGCTTTTTTGCAGGCAAGGTAAATACCTCTTCCTTTTGTACACTGGTCTGGGAACTTATAGGGGCAACACTGCCTCTCAGTAACAATGTAGCTTCTCTCTGGTGTACTCTTGTCCTTGGTTACTTATTCCTTCAATAATGAAACCAGTGTCCACTTAGACTGCTAGAGTAATTAGTATATTCTCTGAAAAACAACTTAGTAAAGCAATCCTTTATAGATTACACAGAAACAAGCCCCACTGCAGCAGTGACACCACTGCAGCAGTGACACCAATCACTTAACATTTATACAACAAATGCACTAAGAACTAGTAAATGTCTAACTTCATTTCATGAAAAGACAGTCCCTGTACCTTCATGGAACCTTTAAAACAAAACCAAATAATACAGGGATGAAAAAAACTTAATGGGTAAAGGAGTGGCAAAGACAGAGGCAAGAAAGGTCCAAAGACCTTTCTGAAAAGGACACGAAGTGCAAAGAAAAATCAATCAATGGTGCTCAACCTAGGTGGGTGCAGACTTATATAGGAAGGTTTCAAAAGATGTATGTCCAGGTGCCACGCTGAAGCAATTTATCAGAATTGCCAGGGTTGGGTGTGGCAATCACATTCTTTGATAAACTCTAAAAAGTGTCTCGGAAGCACAGGCCGTTGAGAACCACTGGAGGAAAAACGGGAACCAATCTCAATGGGAAGAAGATTCAAGCCAGAAGTGAGATTTCATTGAGCCTCACAGGCTCGTATAAGGTATATTGACCATGAGTTTATTCTAAATGCTATGAGTCAAGGAGGGAAAAATTAATAAAATAATCTTAACTGCTGGGTAAATGCACATGTGCAATCGAAGACCCACATCTTTGGTAACAAAATGGAACAATTTATGTAATTAGTAATTTTTAAAAACTTCAATAGGAATATTTCTCTTCAACTTGCCACTTCTGATTAAAAAAGAAAACAAAACACTTATACCATCAGTTATAGGAGACTACAGGAGCTATAGCCTCTACTTACAGGATTTTAATTTTGAAGACCATTTTATTATACATGCTCAAGAATATGTTTATGTTACTGGCCTGCTTGATGCACCTAAAAATCTAAATTATTTGGGGCTGAAGATCAGAATCTGCAAAAATAATACAATTTTTTTTTTAAATAACACACCCTCTTTCTGTTTAAAAGAGAAAGGAATCACATCTATATTCGATTCTATACAACTGAGCAATGATGTTAAGAAACTAGCATCTTTCACTAAAATTAGATCTAAAAAAAGTGTGTAGTACCTGCAATTTTAAAATTCTGAACAAACGCCATGCATTTCCCCTTAGGTATTTTTTTACAAAAAGTGTTAATGTGAAAGAAAAAAAAATGGAGAGAAGCAAACATTTAAAACAAATTTCCAAAATGTCTAAGATGAATTTGGAAGGCAGCAGTTCACTGTAATATAAATCTTTCTAAATGAAAGGATGACACTAAAGTGAGGTAACAAAAAAAATTATTTTCATAAACTGACAGTCACTGTAGGTTGAAAATCTGTGACAAGGAACCTATAGGGCACACCAAGAAGACAAGTTATAATCTTTGAAGTTCCTTTAGTACTGAAAATTTTAAGTTTCTACGGTTACTTGCTTACCATTATGACAGGATTTAAAGTATTTAATACTGAAAACGTTGATATTAAAATCTAATGCATTTGGAAAAGATCCATATATTGACAAACTGACCATTTACAAAATTCAGATAAACGCATACTTTTCTCTGACGGGCTTCTAAATATT